ATTGGGGAAGGTAAAATAAACATCAAGTTCGATATTTGGCTTAAGTCAGGATCTATTCAAGGAAGATTGACACAGGACTTGCCTCAAGACAAATTGGTTAGGGACTTCAGAAACAGTAACGGATGGGATACTACCTTACTGAATTCCATTTTACCTGCTGAAGTAGTAAATGAAATAGTCAAGATCCCAGACACCAAGCTACCTGATAAGATGTTCTGGATTCCCAACTCATCTGGGGAGTTTTCCATCTCCTCGTGTATTAATCTGTTCAGACAGGGTAAGTCAACTCAACTGGCCTATAAACATATTTGGGATAAAAGCATTCCCAAAAAATATCAGCTTTTTAATTTGGAGGCTGTGGCACAATTGGTTACCAGTAGATGATATTATTCAGAAAAAATTTGCTATACAATTAGCCTCCAAATGTCAGTGTTGCTGCAATTCAGAAAGCATTAATCATGTATTCTTGGATGGTAGAATTGCTAAGGAGGTTTGGTCACATTTTTCCAGGGTTATGAATGTGCAAGAGGGTAGAGGCGATAATCCCAGAAATTTACTTATGCACTGGTTCCTTCAAAAGAAAGCTAAACCGGGGGAAATAGGAAATGTTGTTCCACTGGTTATCATTTGGTTCATATGGCTGGCCAGAAACAACGCGAAGCACAAACAATATGCTATCAAGGCTGACAGGATTATTAAGCAAGTATATACCCTGATCAATGCACTCATGAGGGCAGGTAGGTTACAACTGGCTGGGAGGTTCAAGCAAAAAAGACCCACAGCAGTTAAGTGGTTCAAACCTGAGGTAGGGTGGTATAAACTTAATACGGATGGATCTATGAAGGATGAATCCCAGACTGCAGGTGGGGGGATACTGAGGAATAGCTCAGGGAATCCAATATGGGGATTCTATGATTATTATGGTGAAGGTTCGATTTTGGAAGCTGAGCTTAAAGCTATGGAAGCGGGGCTGAAACTGTGTTGGTCACAGGGAATCAGGAAAGTTTGGGTGGAAACTGATTCTAAGGCGGCTATCAGTTTAGTTATGCATAACAATGGCCCATACACAGGGAATCAGGAAAGTTTGGGTGGAAACTGATTCTAAGGCGGCTATCAGTTTAGTTATGCATAACAATGGTCCATGGGGAGTTCAATACAATTTGCAATCCATTAGATGGCTGTTGGAGAAGCTGGAGAACAAACTTACGCATACTTGGAGGGAGGGTAATCAAGCGGCAGATTGGTTTGCATCCAAAGGGTATGATGACAGGAAGTTCAAGGTTATTAAGGCAAATGAGTTCTTGGGTAGAATCAAAGGCATAGTGAGGTTAGATAGAATTGGCATGGCTAGTATCAGATTAGTCAAATAGAGTGTTCTTATATTTGTTTCTAATTTTGCTGCTAGTAAGGTTTTCATTAGTAGTAGGATTGAGTGGTTGTTATTTTCGTGGAGGTAAGGTTTTTTGTCCCTCTCTTTGCATTGTATTAGTTTTTTCATGAATAAATGCATATCTTACGGCTTGAATTTTCAAGTTAGGATATTTTACTAAAAAAAAAAAAAAACAGGGGCTACTTATAAATATTAAAATTGCTAATTTCTCATACATAAAAGTTTAGATTATGATTTTTTAAGCTGGAATTTCAATCTTTCAAATCTAAATAAGCAATTCAACCTATTGAAGTTTAACAGAGTATATAGTGCGTCAAGGTGACTTTGTTAACGGGTGGGGGGGTATCCGGGCTGACGTTATGAATTTTGAGGCGTTCGACAACTAATTATTACGAGGCTTTAAAGATAATTTTTTGCATTCGTAATAATACTTAAAACAAATTAACTCTTTTAGTTTTTATTTAATTTCCACAGGGAATTCCAATAACAGGAGACCAAGAGTTGAATCGAATATGGAAGTCAATTTACAGCTTGTGACAAAACTAGGACTATAAGCAAAAACAGTCAAATCGAAAAATCGAACTGAAACCGCAATTTCGAAATCGGCGGTTTGGTGCCATGTGGACTCCTCAACGAAATGGTTTTAAACCAAACCAAACCGGTCAAAAAGGGTTTGGTTTAGGTTTGAGAACTTTATTTACGGTTTAAACCCAAACCGGACCTGCGAAAAAATATATAAAATAAAAAATTGATTTTTTTTTGAAAATTTATCCAAAATTCCAATTTTGTAAATTCAATAATTTTGTCATTTTGTTGGTATTTTTGTCAATTTTTAATTTCCTATTAGTTATTACGATTTACGACCCGCAAAAATCCCAACCCGACCTGCTATCCTAATTNAAGACTGAGTGATTTTTTGTGACCTGTGGATTAGTTCTGTGATTTTTTTTGTGATTTTAGTTACATAACTGCGTGTTCTTGATTCTTGAATATGGAAACCGTCTAAATTATTACTAAACATAATTTGTCATCTCGATTCTTGAAAATCCCAAATTCGTGATTTTTTGTGACCAGTAGATTATTTCTATTTTCGAAATTCTGTGATTTTAGTTACATAGCTACCTGTTCTTGATTCTTGAATATGGAAACCGTCTAAGTTGTCTCTGGAATTATATAACTGTGATTTTAGTTTATTGTTATTTTTCCTTTGATATTGTTGGTATTTAAATTTATAGTAGATATATTTAGTTTATTTTAGATTTATTACTAGTAAGATATAAATATATATTGAATTAATGGCATAAAAGTAGACATTAGAGAGGTAAAAAAAATACGTGAAACCGGTGATTTAAAACCGAACCAAATCGTTAGGTTTAGGTTTGAGTTTTTCTCAAACCAGTCAAAACGGTTTGATTTGAAAATTTGTCAAAAATCGGTAAAGTCGGATCGCTTACACCCGTAGACAAAACTCATTCAGTTTGTTTACTTCTTCAATTTTAACTAACAAATTAGAAGAAACATACATAAATAACAGCAATACCAACAAAAGAGTGCTGGATTTCTTATCTTTTCACTATAAAAAAAGGGAGCAAACAATTCTAACTGTTTAATGAACTCAGAACAATAATATAATAAAAAACAACATACTAGTATGTTCTTTCTTTACACCTTTAAGCTTTGAATTGTCAACAAAATACATTGATCTAATCAATCATAATAATTAAATTAAAGTTTGTGTCATTCAAAAAGAAAAATGCTAAAATGGATTTTATTTTTTTTGGAGGCCCCATAAATATTTAGGCCCAAGGCCGGCCCTGGGGATATCACGAGAGTAGTCTGAACGTTTTATTTATGCATTCTCCTCATCTTATAATGATTGCCATATCTTGAGGTGGAGCCGCGTTTCATTCTTGATGAGATCTTTCTTGTCGTTGACTTGGACTTTCAGACTTATAAATAGAGGTGAACTCCTCTCTAGCCGTTCGTTGCATTGCTCATGGTGGAGTGTGGTCTATCTAGGCTACTCTCGGACATATTAGGTATTTAATTTCCTTCAACCATAATGCAACTTTTCATGTCTAATGTGAGGGAAGCTAGGTTGCTAACTCACTTACGACAGAGTGATGCAAGGACGATGATATCATGAAATATGGCCCTCCCGACTTGCCTTGGCAACTTTGTCCACGTATAGATGGATATATATGACTTTTTTCATGTTCACATGTCTTTAGACTTTATTATTTCATTATTCCTATTTGTAAAGGAGGTAGCACCTTCCCATTCAATGGTTTCATCTTTTATGCTTTTGATTAGAGGTCAGATTTATGTCATCGCCTCTTGTATTCGTTTATATTCCATCTATATCGTGGTAGGGGAACCCTAACCCCCTTCGTCCTGATTTGGTGGAGCCTAAAAGGTACATCGAAGCTATGATGGTGCTTTATTTTAAAAAACCAACATTAGTTGAAAGATTAGATAGTCAAGCCTATTTTTTCCTAAATTAACGAGGATTTTGAGTGTTGTAGTTTGAGATTCTCTGTCTTATGAAACTATCTCACTATAAGAATTCTAATGTGAAATATCATAGTGATTATGAGTTGTCTACTTTGAATCTCGAACTTATAGTTAAGTATTGAATTTTGTAACGATCGAATAGTAAAATAGATATTAGATCTGATCAAGTAAAGCAAGTGTCCATTTTGCGTATCTATAATTGCCAAAAGTAACAAAAGCAGCAAAACCAGAAAAGAAATAAAATAGAATCACCAAAGATATGAATACATTTACTCAATAAAATAATAGAATAAATGCAATCGAGTTAATTGTCACAATAATCACTAAACTTATACTCGTGTTTTTGATTGCTCACTACAATTTAAAATGTCGAGTTTTAGTCATCAAACATATCCAAACGTATAATGAGCAATTAAAGAAAAATAGAAGACATTTTTCGAAGTATAATGAGCAATTAAAGATCTTTTTAAAAAATATAAGGAGCAATGAAAAACGTTTTCTTACGTGACAATTTGGTAATAACATGATGTCACGTGTACATTCCGTTAGTCACGTCATCAATTCCGTTAGAGGTTTGAAATGGATATTATGTCAGTGAGTAACATTTAATATTTGAATAAATTTAATAATCAATACTAACATTTTAAATTTAGTTAGTAATCGGAGACCGACATTCTCCCACATTCATGAAATTGTTTTTGGAAGGTAAATTGTCCTTTTTTATGCACGTTACTTTTCGTTGACAGACTGTAGGTATAACCGCTGATGTTTCCTTCAATTAACGACAACCAGCCTATATATTCGGTCATATACCCTCCATTGTCTCTCCATCTTCGTTTTCACTCCACAACTTACCTTCCCTAACAGCTACCTGTCAGCTACCGCTTTACCCTTTTCTATCTCTGTCTCTCTCCCCCAGTCACAGATAGGACAGGGGGAGAACAATAAGAGTAAATCTTAAAAAACCCTGAATTCAGATTCTTCATTTCTGCTGACACTTTTGAATTCTACTTGAATGTCTCATGTTTTCGCATGAAAATAACCTGATCCAAGAATCTTGATTGAACGGGTGTTCTGGGTGTTGAGCAAATTTGTCATGACTTCAGATTCGATATCTAATTTAAAGCCCGCGCCAACTCCATCCAAAGAGGAAGACGAGTTACCAGATTCAACCGCTGCTCTTTTGCCCTTCGACACGGAATCTTCCTCCTTAATCTCTCCATCATCCAAAGAATCGACCAATAGAGTTCTATTCATTTGTCTAATTCTTTCCACAGGCATTGCTCTCTCAGCAGCTTTTGCCTTTGCCTTTTTATTCTTCTCCTCTGCTGCTTCATCGTCACCATCAGTAACTTCTCAATCCCTTGATCAAGTCTCAAGGCCACTTACAAAGCTCAAGCACCCAGTTGTTTTATTAATATCCTCAGATGGTTTTCGATTCGGGTACCAATTCAAGACCCACACTCCAAATATCAACAGATTGATTGTAAATGGTACTGAAGCCGAGATGGGTTTGATTCCAGTGTTTCCCTCGCTGACTTTTCCGAACCATTACTCAATTGTCACGGGTTTGTATCCTGCTTATCATGGAATAATTAACAATTACTTTATGGATCCAGTCACAGGTGTTGCCTTCACTATGGCCAGTCATGATCCCAACTGGTGGCTGGGGGAGCCGATGTGGGAGACAGTCACGAATCATGGCTTGAAGGCTTCGACTTATTTCTGGCCCGGTTCTGAGGTAAAAAAGGGTTCTTGGAATTGTCCCAAGGATTATTGCATGTATTACAATAGTTCTGTGCCTTTTGAAGAGAGAGTTGATACTATTTTGAACTACTTTGATTTGCCGAGTACAGAGATTCCTGTGTTTATGACGTTGTACTTTGAGGATCCTGATCGTCAGGGCCATAAGGTTGGGCCTGATGATCCTCAGATTACTGAGGCTGTTGCTGGAATTGATAAGATGATCGGTAGATTAATTCATGGTTTAGAATTGAAAGGGGTTTTTGAGGATGTGAATATCATTATGGTTGGTGATCATGGAATGGTTGGTACCTGTGATAAAAAGTTAATCTTTCTGGATGATTTGGCTCAATGGATTGAGATTCCGAAGGAATGGGTGCAATCGTACAGTCCATTGCTTGCAATTCGTCCACCATCCGGTTCTCAACCAAAGGATATTGTGGCGAAGATGAATGAGGGCTTGAAGTCAGGGAAAGTAGATAATGGTCAGTATTTGAGAGTTTATCTAAAGGAGGAGCTTCCTAGCAGACTGCATTATACAGACAGCGATCGAATCCCACCAATTATAGGCTTAATTGAAGAAGGGTTTAAAGTAGAGCAGAAAAGATCTAAAAGGCAAGAATGTGGAGGAGCCCATGGATATGACAATGCAATTTTCTCCATGAGGAGTATTTTTATTGCTCATGGACCTCAATTTGCTCGAGGGAGAAAGGTCCCATCTTTTGAGAATGTGCAGATATACAACTTGGTTACATCCATCCTCAATATTACAGGAGCTCCTAACAATGGGACAGCATCATTTTCACATTCCATTCTTTTGCCCAGCCATTGAAACTTATCTAGGGTGTTGACACTGAAATACCAAACTGAATTGGATATCGAGTGAAAGCGCCTGATGAGGTAATTGCTTATATATGTCGAGATTGATACAATGGGGTTTTGCAGAGAAGCGAATAATATTAATGATGAGAGTTCAAGCAGATTACATTTTGATTAGGCAAATACGAGGCGGTATGCTGGTTCACTAGCTAGTTGCTTGCTTTCAGCTTATTATGTACATGTGCTTTATATGAAAGGATGAACCACTTTCCAGATAAAAATATTGAAATTTTTTTATTTGAACATCATCCAACAATGGATTCTTGTTTCATTCACGGTTCTGTTGTTCAGTTTTGATGGTTCGACCATCACATGAAATAGCACTAGACATTACAGCATATAGCAAACCCCTACTACTTTGACGGTAACACTATTTATGTATAATGTTGAAGGTTTTTCATGCTGCTTTTTGATTTGATTCAGATCGTTGTTTGTTTATATGAGAGGAAAGTAATGATGCATTCATCTTCAAATTTGAGAATATTTTACCTGAACAACAATGGTCCATGATTTGATCAGTTTGTCTTGAGATTGCCTCAACTAGGTGCTTCTTGAGTTCATTCCTCGTATCTCTGTCAAACTTCGCTTGCAGTTACTTATATATTATCACTGGATCCTAAATTTGTATTCGTTTCTTACCATTTCATTGAAATGTTAGAATAGCTTTCTGAAATTAATTGAACTGTGGGAGTAAGAGAAATTCTGGTTCCTGAATTTGTCATTTCAATGCCCTTGACCTGTTCAGTATCTTTCCAGGCTCCGGTCGTCACCTGTCAACTTTGTGAGATAGACGTTGATTTTGTGCGTTACTCTATTTAACATTAGAAAATTGACATCGAACTCTTGAGATATCCTTTCCATAGTTTGCTTCTTTCTCCGTCGTGTCTGTGATCACTCTGAGCAAGTAAAAACTTAAAAACTAGAGGTACGAAAATATGACATTATAAGTGGAATAAATAACCAGTTGAAGCTCTCAAAGGAACAGTCACTCTCTTTTAGGTCTTGTAAGCTGAGGTCACACTCGGGCAAATGCATGACCTAATATGTTGCTTGAGTTCTCGGTCTTTCACATCATTAAAGCATGCTGATTATTGCTTGAATTTCTATTCTATTGCTAGTTCTTATTAGATAGGTTTTAGTTGGTTCTGTTTCTTGATAGGTGAAATTCGTAATCATTTTTTGGATGGATTCTCTCTGCTTCTGTTAGGGACCACTCCCAGGCGAGGCCATTAATGTATCTATGCTCGCTCCTCTATTTTCCAACATCTTCCTTTGGAACATGAGTAGCAAGCAGATGCTGATTTGATGCTGAAAAGAGCAAGGAGAAGTCTCTCTATATTAATGAATTTGGAAGCGCAGGCATCTGCATGACAAGAGCCAGTTGTCCATAAGAAAGAACACCCAATCCTCTCTTAGGTAACCAAATTGGTATATCAAAGCATATTTTAGACATTTTACATTTTGTTGTAAATTGTAAGTTTATTAGAGAATGACAATTGTACCCCAACAGCCCTAGAAATTATTATCATTGTATCCCTAATCCTGCCCTATAAATATAGGGTTTCAATTCTCATTATAATACACACAAATCTATGGATTGTTATTTTGTCTTCTCTTTTTCTCTATTTTCACAACACATTATCAGCACGAATGCCTTTATCTAATTACTATTGTTTTTCTTAAAAAAAATATGGGTGCAGTGTGTTTTCAACTGATTTGCTTCTTTTAAATTATTCAATTACAGCAATTTGCTTAAGAGTTAATTGCACAGATTATTCAAAGAACTTTGCACGGATTATTGGTAATTGATCTTTTTTGTTTATGAGTTGACTACAAATATTTTGAGAAGCATGCACTTGCTTTACTTGCTTGAAGTATAAAACTTTTCCTACTATCCATGGGAGATCAGAGTAATAAATCTTGCCACATAATACAGTTGTTGATTCAACGAAAGACAGGCCGCAGAGAAACTACGGAGATATGTGTCAGCCGATTGAAGTTTCCTTGCTTAATGCTACAGTAGCCGCTTTCTATGGCACCGGGTCTAAAGAAGAGATTTAGAAAAAGGAAAATAGGAAAAGGGCAGGTTCGAAGGTGGAATAATAGGTGTCCTTGGAATTGATTGGGACGAAACTGCCGAGGCATGTCTGGTATATTTAAAAAAATTCACCGTTCGATTATCACGTTCTTATTCTTTTTAATAAGAGAATAGTTTATGAATTTAGTAATCGTATATCTGTCTCTTATAAAATATTATTCCTCCTATGAAATATTGTTGCTCCTGAAGTAGCACACTATTCTTAATATTTTAGTTAGATTTTATTTGCTCCTAAAGAGCATAATTAAATAAAATTTAACATAAATTATGTTTACTCTTGAAGAGTAATTTTTTATACAATTGATTATTTTAAACAATAATATGTTAATGCTCCTGAAGAGCATAAAACTCTGATTTCAATATTGCAGAAGAATGTTATTCGTAGATCTATTTATTACAAATATTTTATTGTCTATGAAGTAACACGGCTTTACAATTAATATTCTAAACTCCAAAAGAGCGTGATATTCTAATTTTAATATTCAAGAAGAATATTGATAGATTTTTATGTAAAATCACGAATTAAATTTCTCAATTTATTTACATGTTCATTCTTCTGCATATGAATTTTTTCACTGATGTTCTAGTTAAATTTTCCTTGCTCCGGAAGAGTATAATAAATACGATCGAACATAAATTATATTTTTACTCCTGAAGAGTAAATTATTACATAATTTTTTTATTCTAAATGATAATATGTTATTTGCTCCTAAAGAGCGTAATATTATAATTTTAATATTCCAAATGAATATTAATTTATTGTTTTCGAAGAAACAATAATATATATATATATATATATAAACAACTCAATGGTGAGCTGTAATTTTTAAAGGAAATTAATTTTCTATATTATTAATAGTCAATAAGAATATTAATTTCTCTTGAAGAAGCAATAATTAAAGATAATGTGCTCTCAAAGTAGCACATTTTCTTTTCCAATAATATATCATTTTGAATTCATGTTTATTCTTGAAAGAAAACAATGTCGTAAGGACATTGATTAGTTTGACTACTTGAATGATTTATGACTATATAAGGTTTAGTCGTATTTTTCGAAATTAAATAATTGAATTATATCTTATATAGAACTAAAAGTTCAATTTGAGTTTGTTGTTTGGCAAAAATCCATTGACGAAGAACCAGAATATTCTTTAATCCAAATAATTCATATTTGATATTTGTTCTCTTTATTAAAACTTGATCATTGATCGTCACTAGTTAAATATGGATTGAATTTCCTAAATTTCTAAAAATTAATTAGGGTGAAAATTGATCATTGATCGTCATACTCCACGTTGACCATCTAAATATTATTTGTATCTAATAGATTTGATACGAATATTAGATGATTGCATAGTGTCCGCAACATGAAGTTTGCAAAAGTGCTACTCAAATTATGAGCATAATTTTCATATTATACAATTAAGACGGTGTGTCTTGTTAATACTAGTGATCTTAAATCTCAACTTTTAAATAAGTTTTTGTTGAGATGTCGATAAATGGTTTAAAATTATTGTTGGTTAAACGCCCCCAATTAATTTAATTACTAACAAAATACTTCTAATTTCTGTTTAGGGAATGCATCATGCCAACATCAAGTTCTCCCCTATAATAATTGACTTAGATTAGAACTTGATTTTTTTTATTTAATTATTTGATAGTGCAATATATGTACAATTAATCCACAATATTGCATTGAAATGGAAAGTAAAGAATGTTGAGAATAAATGCGTAATATGAACCCATATTCCAAACGGGTGATTTTGTTTACTACAAGTTTTACATATTATTATTTTGATGAAATGATTTTCCCAACTTTGGGAGGAAGAAACTACATCTTGATAAAACAAGGTAAAATTTCTTTAAATGAAACAAATCTATCTCACGTTGACCCTCACAACAATTAATATGAGCAAGAGGTTGAAAAAATCATTCATTTGCAAATAGTTGTAAATCAATTATCAAATGTATTTGTGACATAAGAAAAATGACAAAGTCATATATAGCAGCGGAAAATATTTCAGCAAATTGATGTCCCTACATGACAATTTGATGTAGCAAATAAATTTCAAATACGTCAGAAGCATGGTCGACCATTTGGTTCAAAAGATTCTGTACCTTTAAAACGAAAAGTATAAGAGAAAAACCAATCAAAAACATCAGAAGAAGTAACATTAGAAAATATTGATTAATCAAATATTGAAAATATAGTTTTTGAAGAACCACAAGTGTCCAAAAATAATGAGATTTCAATAAATTATCTATTATCTCATAAATTATGAGAAATAAATAATGTCGTTATAGACAATATTTTTCACCTTTAATGTGGCTCTTGTATTATACAAAATGAGGATCATAAACCACGGCATTTTAAAAACTGTCACATAGAAATGATTGACCAAAATGGAAAGAAGTCATGCAGGCGGAATTGAATTTCTTTGATAAACGGAAAGTGTTTGGACCTGTAGTTCGAACACCGGAAAATATAATCCATGTTGGATACAATAGATTTTTATACGAAAGAGAAATGAAAATAAATGAAATTAAAAGATATAAAGCTTGACTCGTAGCTCAAGATTTCTCACAAAAACCAATAATTGATTATGCGGAAACATATTCTTTTGTAATGAACACCATCAATTTTAGATTTTTAATTAGTTTGACTGTATCACAAAGGCTCGATATAAGCCTTATTGATGTAGTGACTGCTTATTTGTATAGTTCACTTGATGATGACATATATATGAAAGTCGCTGAAGGACTTAAAGTGAGATAAGCAAATGATTTATGCCTGAAAACCATGCTCTCAATTAAATTGCATAGATCATTATAAATTGAAACAATCCAGATACATG